CAGGGAAAGAGAGGCTGAGGTCACGTGGCGTGTGGCATTCTGCCCACATCCACCAACCACAGACAACTGTCCTCAGCCAAGTGGCCTCCCGGGACACCGTGCCAGGGAGAGAGGCTGAGGTCACGTGGCGTGTGGCATCCTGCCCACAGCCCCTCACTCCGGTTACCATGTGAACACTGTAATGACAACGCCTCCCAGCCTTTTTCTACGAGCATAGCTTTCTGTGTTGGTTGTTTGGTTTTGCTTTTATTGGTTGTAAAGTTGTGACTACTAAATATACAATTTTGTCTCATTTTTTTTGGCATTATCATTATATTCTAAGAATTCTCCATCACAAATTCATTTGAAGGATCTTTTTGTTGGCTGCATAATATTCTGCAGTGTAAGTGTAGCGTACTTTATTTAAGTAACCCCCTATTATCAGGCATTTGGATAGTTTCTGGTTTGGTTTGGTTTTGCCATTTTAACTAACACTGTGGTCGGTTTGGGATGCATTAAACTTCACGCCAGTTTTGGGCTGTTTCAGCGACATTTGCTTACTCTGTGCAAAGCGTTGCGGGAAACTGGAGGGTGAGCTAGACACAGTCCTTCACGCAAGATGCAGATATAAATAACTCTAATCCAAAGTAGCTTAGTGTTCCCATGAACAGACAGCAAGGCCTGGCGTACAGAAGAGTTTTGCCTGTGCTTAAAGGGGTTTTGAGAACGTTACGGGAGAAAATCTGAGACTCTGGTAAGGGTAAGGAGGGGTGGGCAGCGCAGCGGAGGGGCTGGTTTAGGCGGGAGACCTACCAGCGGGCGGGCGCAGCCTAAAGCGGGTCCTCAGTGCTCTTTGGCAAACACGATCACCCCTGACTGTGTCGCCCAGTCTGAGCACAGAGGCGGAGGAGGGACCTGTCCGCAGTGTCAGTCCAGTCCGCACCTCCTGGCCCCCCATCAACCTGCCCCTGGGGCCCCCCTGCATTCTCTCCCACCCGCCTGATCTCACGTGCCCTGCCTTCAGCCCCTGCAGGTGCCATGACTCAGCAGCCCCAGGAGGGCTTCGACAGGAGCGTGGAGGACGCCTGGGAGTGGATGAAGGCCGTGCAGGATCAGCTGCAGATCAACGACAACACCCAGGGGCCCCGTGCCGCCCTGGAGGCCAGGCTTCGGGAGACCGAGGTATGCAGAGGCCATGGCCTCAGTGCCCTGTGGCCTGAGTCGGGTCTCTCCCGCTCAGGCCTCGGGTTTCTGGACTGTTAAATGGCAGGGGTGGACTGGACCAGTGTTTCTCAAACTCCCGTGTCTTTAATCTCCCAGGGATTTTTGGGCTAAGTGCAGATTCTAATCCTGAAGGTCAGGATAGGCCCGAGATGTGGCATTTCTGACACTCTCCAGGTTATACCATTGATTCCAGCCCTTGGACCACTTTCATAGTAAGGGTCTAGAGCCCCTACTGGCCCTCCTGTCCTGGTAGGGCCACCGTGCAGCCAGGTAGGTAGGTCCTCGGCCCAGTTGGCCCAGGCCTGTCTCCCCGCTTCCCTCCCAGGCCTGGGAGGTCCCAGGTTGGCCTTCAGGGGAATGGGGAGGGGATGTGCCCAGTGAGGAGTGACTCCTTTGGCTCCTCCAGGGCTGGGATCCAGCTTTACCCTCCGCCTGGCACAAAGCAGGGCTCAGTGCATATGGAACTATGCTGACCTGGCCAGAGAGGCGGGCGGGGGTCAGAGGGTGACAGCCTGGAGAACTGAGCCGAAGAGCTTGGAACTCTCTTCTGCAACAGAGGGGTCATGGGCTGGAAATGTGGAAGGTTGGGCATTGAAGGGGCTGGGCAAGCCTGGAGGTAGAAAGGAGTTGGCAGCCCAAAGCCCGTTCCCTTGTCAGACACGTAGCGTCATTATCGATCAAAAGATTATTCCACCCAGGTCCCTGGGAGAGGGGACTGGCATTCATTCCACACCCATTGTGTGCTCAGGGCTGCACTATCGGCTTTCATGTTTCCTTTCACAGAAGCCCTATGAGTGTGGTCTTATTGTCCCCGCTTTTCAACAGTGAAATGCATTCCTAGACATAGTGACGGGCCAAAATTCAAGTAATCGATCTGCTTAAGGCTTGAATCCCAGGCTGAGTTCAGAAGGCCCCTGGCCATCCCCGTGAGGGGACCTGGGCAGTGGAGGTAGATGAACCCTGCTTTCGGGTTCACAGGGTAACGGGA